TAAAATTGCTAAAACAAACGAACAAATAAAAATAAAAGCTAAATAGAAATAATAACAAAAAAATAGGCTAGACATATTTAGATCAACACCTTAGATAATTTGGGGGGGGGGGCTCATTAAAAATGTTAATACTATACATACTATAAAAGTATATAAATAATACTAAAATAACAAAGGAACAGAGTTCTCCAGATTAACTCAGGTGCCTTAGCCAATTCACCATTGTTTATAATATATTAAATGAAATTGAACTGAATGAACCTTTTTATTATCAAAATAAATGCCACTGGATTAGATAACTTATATACAGTCTACATGCACAGTATGCACATCCAAGCATTTTGAAGTTTACTTCTTAGAGCCACTATTCTCGCTCTGCATTTGCTCTGCAGCAAAGTTGACAATTAGCTGCTGGATCAAAGTTTAGAGTCAATCCCATTCACAATTGATGAAATGCTTCCAATATTGCACCCTGTGGCAGTCTGCAAATGGATTTAGTGACAATTTGAAGGGAAATAAATGTGCCAGGACGGAGACTTGTATCAGCATCTAAACAGCACACCACAGACACAAACACTCTCGACCCGTCCACTGCCAAGGGCTGACCAACACCTTGGAAATTTGGAAAGAAAAAAAAAAGTGAGGAAGAAAGAGGCAGATAGAGAGAACACATAAATAGGTATCTACACTTCTGCTGACTGGAGTCAAAAGCCCTACTTTGGCGGCAACTGTTTCTCATGTGGACGTCCCTAAAAATAAATTTGCATGGCACCTCAGTGATAAAACTCATGCATTCCGATGGCATTTATTCATGGTGAAGGGGTGAGTTTTGTGAAGCCTGGAACATACTGCTCATATGGTCATAATATGAAAATAATAGCCTAATTATTATTTAATTTCTTAAAATATCCTGTTTAAAAAAATAGGAATGTATAGATGCATTTTAATAAAAATGTTTTTCTGTCTTGTATTTTATCTCAAAATAAATTGGGAATTAGAGGAAATAAGATAATACAGCCTATCATATACATAAGGTAAACACACTGTAAAAAATATGTTCAAGATTTTTTATCAAGACATATTTTCTTTTGTCAAATCAACTTTATAATAATTTATTTAGATGAGATAACTTATTATTTTGAGTTTCTGATGATTGAATTAATCTCCTTCATTGTATTAACTCACTTTTTCCAGTGAAATGAACTTAAAATTTTAAGGCAACCAGGTTACTTACTTTTTTAAGTTAAACCAACAATATTTTTTTACAGTGTAGTTATCACAACATTTTTTTCTTTTGTCAAATCTACTTAAATAATTTATTTAGTTGAGATAACATATAATTTTGAGTTTCTGATGATTAAATCATTCTCCTTCATTGTATTAACTCACTTTTTCCAGTTAAATGAACTTAAAATTTTAAGGCAACCAGGTTACTTACTTTTTTAAGTTACAACAACAATATTTTTTTTTTTACAGTAATGTATATACTGTAACTGCTGCCGTAATAACAGCCAATTTAAAATGCTAGCTATTTGCATGTATTTATCCATTAAAAAACTTGATCACACAATTAATATTTCAATTGAGTCAGACTTAATAATATTTGAGTGTAAAAGTTCCAGCATCCAAAATAAATGCAAAAAAATATTTTTTTTCATGATCCACTCAAAACCCCCAGTAGCCTACTGTACATGCTGTTATATATTCAATGATGGTCATTTGGGCTGATATTTGGTGTTCTACATAATATTTATTATGTCCTTTAGCTAGCTATTTGTCACCACGATTGTACTTTATTAGACAAAATCATCAGTTTTGTAATTTCTTACATCGTGTCTACAGCGTGCGAGTCCGTCTAATGTTACACTGGACAAAGCAAAGGTGCAAATGATGTGTCCTCCGTGTAGCCGCTACTTCAGAAGAACGGGCATTACTATCAATGAATCATTGTGTCGCACTGCGCCACATTCAGTGTATAGGCTACATTATCACAAATTATGAATTATGTATGTATAGCCAGCACTAGTCAAGAAGGAAGATTAGACATGTCATATATCTGCAGGAAAGAAAATATCATGGGCAAAATGTGTTAACATTTCAAACATGTTAGTTTTATATTATTTGAAACTGCCACAGCAGCCGAGCCTATTGACGCGCTGTCGCGTCGCTTGATTCCGGTGTAGAGGGTGTTATGCTCAGGATGATGATCATAATTTGTGTGTAATTATGAGTTTATCCTGATGGGAATATACAAAAAGCCTTCAACTCCAACAACCTTTTGGAAACAGGGTGTTTTAACCACACAAACAGCTCAATTTGAATGAAGCGCCCATATTTTACAGCTCCATTTCTGAATCAGATTCAGTTCCCGCCCCGAGTGTAAAACCTAACGTGATTGGTTGTAGCGAGAACGTGATACGATGGTCAGCTCAATGTGGCCGTTATCTGATTGGCTTTAGGAAACGGTGGGTGGAGTCCACTTATTTGTGGATTTGTCTGTACCTTGACACTAGAAGTGTTTCAAAATCCACAAATGCGTGAGGGATTTATAAATGCATAGAAAGCGTTCACAAATAAATGCCAGGCAGAGTTGTGTTTGTGGCACAAAAAATAAATAAATAAATAAAAAATATATATATATTTGCAAATCTCATTTTTTTTTTTTTTTTTATTATTTGTGGATCATAATCAATTCATTTGGAATAATGTAACAATTCTCACCCCATAAATGGATGTCAATGTTAAGCATTTACCAATGTGCTCAGGGCTCATAAAACTAGTACTCAAGTGTACATAATACTTCCTTTAGGTTGAAGGTTGGAAATAAACAGACCTATCTTCTTTAATTGTAGAACTTTCCAGTAGGTGGAACTAGTGAGATATATATAATTATATTAAGAGAGAGATTCAAAAATATATATTTAGAGATGGATGTTAACATTATGTTATAGTGTATTTGAGGAAATAAGTGTGTACATTTACTGACATGTTCCAAATGGGGTATATTTATGTTATATTTGGTGAAATATGTTATATCCTTACAAGGCAGTTAGCATCTTTTCTATTTGGCTGTGTAACTTTAATTAGTTTAAGTGCGCAGGCGTTTCACCTTTAAGTTTCATTTTCGTTTAGTCGATGTTCAGGACTGGTACGCCTTGCCGGTGAGTGACTGTAATCTAGCATCGTTAACAATTGAGAGAAAACATCTTAATATCACATAATTGTGTAAATTTATTATTTATTCCTGGTGTTTCTGTTTCATTTCAGGTTTACAACCTAACTAATAATGTCACTAATCCAGCTAACAGGCTAGCATAGCAGTAGCTTTCAGGCTAGTTTGTGGATGAGTATTGTGTGTGAAAAATAAAAGCTCATATAGTGACTTGAGTTGTATCCGCCGTATTTGTCCTGAAACCCTTCCAGTGGGGAGTTTATTGAGCTATAGTAGGTAGTTTAGTAGAGAACTGGACAGTTGTAAACCGTCGTCGGAGCCGTGCTTGAGAGAACACGGACCTGAGCGGAGGAGAGCCGTTGTTGATGACGACGCCGGGATCGGAAAATCAGATTCTGAAGAGGCCGTCAACAAAACTACTACAACGGAGGAGCTGAAGTCATGTTGAAGGGCTGAATAACTTCCACAACCGTGAGTAAGACTGTGTGGATAATGATGACAGCCGCGGGGCTAATATAGTGACTTTGTAACGCCGATTTAAGCCATAACAGCTGACGAAGACGTTTGTGTTGTTCACGGATGAACGATTCTTTTGAACGATTCGAGAACGATTCCTTTGAACGAGTCATTTGAACGAGTCATTTTGCTAAAAGGTGATTTTTCGGATTCTGTTCACAAAAAAGAAATAAGATTAAATAAATAAAAAGAAAGAAGAAGTAAGAATATAAATACAAGAACAAAATGGCAGATGATAAGTCAGATCTGGAGAGCTTGAAGCGGAAACGCTCAAATGCACAACGAAATTTTACAATACGGATAAACCGCCTTAACGTTTGTGCTGGCCGTCTACGTGAAGTTGAGTTGACAGAAGAGTTAGTGAAATTGAAGGATGATTACGACAAACTCCTCGATGTCAGTAATGAATATGTTGATGCACAGACCCAAACAGACCCTACTGGTGATGACAGTGAGTTGCAGGACGCCCTGGCGAAGAGAGATGCCAGTGAGCAAAGGTTCTTTGAAACTGAAAGCAAGATCATGGAAATCCTATGGTCCAAGTATGCAGGGCCGGACATAGACGCTCTTGTAAAACAGTTCAAGTCTGCTCTTGATCAGTCTGAGGCGCTCGGGAAAAGTAATATAGTGCCATGGGCGCAACAAGGGGTCGAGAGTGGTAAGCTGGATAGGAAACTCCATGAACTCAAGGAGGCTTTGTACACTTGGAGAGACTATCGGCCACTTGGAAAGGAGAAGTGGATGCTCTTTTTATCGTTAAAAGAGGACAAGGAGCAACTGATGGATGAGTGGACATGCCGACGAGAGAATGAGGTCATGAAAAGGAACCGTACAGAACTAAAAGATGATGTAGATGGAGGTGAGGAGGACGAGGACGAAGATGTGGGAGGTGATGATGTGGTTGGTGGGCCTGTCACAACAAATATCGACAGCCTTACAGCTGCAGATAACATTACCTTTTCTCAACCACTAAGCCTTGCTATTGCTACTCCACCTGTTAACACCAAGCATACTTTCATTAATCCGCGCACTGACTACCAAAGAACTACATATGTTACAGGTGCTCCTTTATCCATGTTCTCCGACAGACCAAGCATCTCTACACGTGCTGCTCAAGTTGCTTCTGCCACTAGTCCACCTCATAGTAGGTATGTAGCATCTACCACGAACAGACCCCCCCAAGGAACGTTACAGTCCAACCTGCAGACAAGGCGGGCTGATAGTGGACTTGGGGTCAGTTTCGCCCGACCTCCAACACATGCTAGCACACCACAACTAATGAGTGATCGCACTGCCCCACCCGTCTATCTCAGCACGGGACAAGGAGTAGCATGCCATACAACAGCTCTGGTTTGTACGCTGGTGGAGATGATGGCTCTCAATGGGCCCGACCAAAAATAAGGCTCACACCAATAAGCTTGCCTAAGTTCTCCGGGGACAGGAGGGACTATTGGCGTTGGAAGGCTGAATGGGAGAGTATCCAGATGCAGGCAGAACCTACAGGGTCAAGGGAATGCAAGAAACTTCACTTGCTAGACAGTATTGACGAGTCTGTGAAAAGTGAGCTCAGACTGTTGCGCTGCAGAGATGCAAACGACATCTTCAGGGAATTAGAAAACCGTTATGGTGACAAAGCACAAACGGCAGAAGAGATTGTGTTGGAGCTTCAATCACGACCTGCTGTCAAGAACCACCAGCCACGAGAGACGTTAGAGTTGATCCTAGCGGTGGAGAGGGCAGCATTGGACCTCATGGACCTAGGGTGTGCAGACGCTCTACAAAATCAGCTGGTGATACGGTCTTTAGAGAGCAAACTCCCTGATGTCATGAAAAGAGAGTGGCTCATGTGTGTGAGAGACCCTGTTGATGTCGTCCACCCAGGAAACCGTTTTGACAGGCTCTTGCTGTTTCTGGAAGACCAAAAGTCTTTGCTCGTGAGGTTGGAGCAGTTGCTGCCCAGCAAGCCATGGCCTGCTAATACTCCTGAGCGATCAAGCTACCGGGAGAAACCAAGTGACAGATGGAAAGAGAAAAAGTCGTTCACTAAGACTACGGCGAGTGAAGTCAAAAGAGACTCCAAGCAGTTAGCATGTCCTGTGTGTAGTAATGAAGAACATGGAGGTAAACTGTTTCGCTGTAAAGCTTTCAGGAAGGCCAGTCTGTCTGAGAAGAAATCTCTCTTGGAAAAGGCGAAAGCATGTACAAAGTGCTTAGATGTTCACGGGTTAGACAGTGGCTGCACTTCAAAGTTCCTTTGTCGTAAGGAGGAGTGTAAGAAAAGCAACACTCCAGTGGACCACCACTATTTCCTCTGCCCTAAGGCATCAGCTGAGAAGGATGCTATCAAGAGGGAAAACAAAGCAGGGGAAAAGAGGGGACCTCGTGGTCCGACGGAGGAGCAAGAGGCTGTGTTTGCAGAGTTGGGACTGACTCCCCACCAGTTGCAGGCTGTGCGTAAAGCCTGCACTAACAAGGCAATGTCAACAGTGTGTTCTGGCAAGAGTCTGATAGGACAAAGTGGCTTGAAAGAACATCCAGTCCTCATGATGCTCGTACCTGTCACAACAAAGAGGGGAGACAGTCTTGGAGCCTTGGTCGATCTCGCGTCTGACACAAACTATATTACACACCAAGCTGCAGAAAGGCTTGGACTGACAGGTGAACCAATATCCCTTGTCGTGTATGGTGTCGGCACAATGAAGGTGAAGGTTGATACAAAAAGGTATCTTGTGACAATAAAGGTGTGGACCTCAAGAGGAACCCTGAAACTTCATAAGATGATCTGCTACGGGATGGAAGACATCGCCAAAGTGGATCGAGTGGTGGGATCAGAGCGATTAGAGCAGTTCTTCCCTGAAACTAAGCCGGGAGAACTGGCCCGCCCAGAGAAGATCGATCTATTGATCAGTACTCGAGAAGGTCGATTAGCTCCACAAAGGCTGCAAAGGGTCGGCGACCTGGTGTTGTGGGATGGTCCTCTTGGTAAGATTGTGAGTGGTGTCCATCCAGACCTCTTTGAAGAAGTGGCAGTGACCACATGGCAGTCAGAGACGCACTTTGCTCACTCAATGAGGTCTGTAGCCGTCAAAGTAAAGGAACAATTCGTGGGAAGGCCAGGATGCCACTTGGAGCAAGAAAGCAGTGTAGAAGTTCGAATGACAGCAGTGTGCAATAAAGAAATCCTTGAGTGGCTAAAATGGGATAGCATCGGTGCTGCCTGTGACCCTACCTGTGGAGGGTGTCGCTGCGGAAAGTGCTCACCAGGAGGGAAGGAGATGTCTTTGGCTGATGAGAAAGAGCTGGAGATAATAAAGGCAGGTCTAACCTACAGGGAGGGAGACGCTCACAGCAACCAGCCACACTGGGATGCGAAGTATCCCTGGAAGGAAGACCCAGCCTCTCTTCCCAACAACCGAAAAGCTGTGGAAGCAACTTTCCTGAGGGCTGAGAAGCGGCTTGAGAGAGACCCCCTGTGGAAAGAGGCTTACAAAAGGCAAGTCCACGAGATGGTGGGGAGAGGTGCTGCTGTTAAGCTCACTAAAGACGTGATGGACAGCTGGAAAGGTGCAGTGTGGTGGGTGAGCCACTTAACCGCTCCAAATCCCCACTCAGTGACTACGCCGGTGCGTCTCGTCTGGAACAGCAGCCAGGAGTTTAGGGGCGTAAGCATGAATAGCATTTTGCTCAAAGGCCCAGACGTCCTAAATCCCATCAGAGCAGTGCTCCTCAGATTCCGAGAAGGAAGACATGCCACCATTGGAGACGTCACAAAGATGTACAACTCGGTTTGGCTGGAGGAACAAGAGGTCCATGTGCATCGGTTTCTATGGAGAGACTCACCAGAGGATGAAATTGAGGATTATGCTGTCGTGAGAGTGAACATGGGAGACAAACCAGCGGGGTGCATTGCACAGGTTGCCATGCGGGAGACCGCAAAGTTACCCCAGTTCTCTGAGATGAAGGAGGAAAGAAGAGTCATCGAGGAAGATTCCTATGTAGATGACCTCCTGACGTCCCACAATGACCCACGCTGTCTAGACAAGATCCAAGCAGGAGTAGAAAAAATACTGAAAGCAGGAGGCTTTTACCTCAAACCTTGGGTCCGGTCTGGTCAAAGTGGGAGGCGGGACGGGGCAGAGTCCAAGCAAATGACTCTGATTTTGCCCAACCAACTAAGGGAGGAAGATAACAAAGCTCTGGGGGTTGGTTACCTCGTGCAGGAGGACAAACTCTTTGTAATGGTCTCCATCAACTTCTCCAGAAGGAAGAAGAAGATGAGGACTGAGATTGACCTCACTGAAGAGGAAGTGGAAGTAAAGACACCGAACCCACTGACTCGTCGCGTCCTACTGAGCCAAATCGCCGGGTTGTATGACCCGATCGGTCTAGTTACGCCTGTGAAGCAGAAAGGGGTGATCCTTGTGAGAAGAGCTTTCCAGGAAGCTGGCAAGCTTAATAAAGACACCTGGGATGAACCTCTGTCTGACGAGCTCAGGGGAAAGGCAATTGAACTGTTCAAGGAGTACACTCGTTTGAGTAGCATTAAATTCCACAGGAGCCTCACACCCCCTGACTGGAGGGGTACACCCTGGGGAATCACGTTTTCTGACGGGAGCTGTGAGTCTTATGGCGCTGTACTATACTTGCGGTGGGAGACGTCAAATGGTGTGGTCATCCGTCTGGTAGAGTCGAAAGCCAAGTTAACCCCCCTCAACCAAAAAGGTGACGCTGTCAAAGCTGAGGTATGCGGAGCTGTCTTCGCTACACGTCTAAAGGGATACATATTGAAGCATGGACGGTTAAACGTGGGAAGGTGGTACCACTTCATCGACAGTCAGACGGTGCTGGGGGCTATCCAGAGAGAGAGTTACGGATTCCAAACATTCTTTGCGAACAGAGTCGGAGAGATTCAGAAGGCTGGACCCGTAACTGACTGGTGGTGGATCCCTGGCGAAGTCAACATCGCTGATTTAGTCACAAGGGGGTGCTCTCCTGATTCTTTAGATGAGAACTCTTTGTGGCAGGAAGGTCCCAAGTTCCTGTCTAGTCCAGTCGAGGATTGGCCCATGAAGTCTGCTTCAGAAGTGGCAGCTGATGCTAGGGAGGTGGTGAGTAAACTCCAGAGAAAGGCCTTTTCAGCAGTCCTCACCAGAACTCAAGCCAAGAAGCAGTTGAATCCCGATAGTCCTGGTGGTGAAGATCCAATAGCTACAGATGAAATAAGCAGGGTTTCAGTGTCTCCAGAAAATGGAAAATTGACCTTAGCTGAGTCTGAAGAAGCAGAGACGCTGTGGGGAGCTATGCTCATAGACCAAGTTGAACCAACAAGGTGCAGTTCTCTAGCTAAGCTTTGTGGGGTGGTTGGTTATGTCCGCAGAGCTGTGAAGAAGTGGTTGGCCTGTGCAAGCAGGACCTCAATACCAGCAAAGTGGGAGGCAGTATTGACAGTTAAGGAACGGAAAGCTGCATTCCAAGACCTGTGCCTAGCCGCTCAGAAGGGAGTTACGTTTCCTGTGACAATGCTAAACAGACTTGTTGTCAGCAAGGATGAAGCTTCTGGGCTCCTAAAATGCTATGGTAGAGTCCAGACCATTACCCAAGGAGATGCCGGTGTTCCCCTGATCCCTTACAATGCGTGGATTAGCACCCTTCTCACACGAGAAGCCCATGAGGTTAACCATGAGGGTGTTGCTGGCACACTCCTCCAGGTGAGGTCTAAAGCATGGGTGGTGATGGGACCAAGGATTGCCAGAAAAGTCATTGACTCCTGTATGCACTGTCGAAAGACCAAAGCGAGAATGTGTAAACAGGTGATGAGTGAGCTTCCCCTCGAACGAACTGTACCAGCCGCACCTTTTGAATATACAACATTGGACCTTTTCGGACCATATGTTGTTAAGGATAATGTAAGAAGAAGAACAAAGATGAAAATCTGGGGTGTAGTATTCAGCTGTATGGCTTCGAGGGCAGTACATGCTGACATTGTGGAAGATTTGTCGACGGAAGGATTCCTGAAAGCATACCAGCGCTTCACTGCTCTCAGGGGTCACCCAAGAAAGCTCTGGTCGGATCAAGGGACAAACTTTGTGGGCGCCAGACCAGTATTACAGGAGCTTTATGAGTTCTTAAGTGGCATCGACAAGGATCAGGTCCAGAAGAAGGCGGCAGCTGTGGGAACTGATTGGATGTGGGTGTTTCACCCGGCGGACTCTCCCCACCGAAATGGTGCAGCTGAGGCAGCTGTCCGTGTACTCAAGAGAGCGTTAAGCAGTGTTGGCGAAGAAGGTAACCTGACAGCGTTAGAGTTCCAAACCCTCCTGTACCTTGCTGCTAACCTGTCAAATGAGAGACCAATCGGTGCCAGGGCCCAGGTACAAGATGAGACTGTGGAAGTCATCACTCCTAACTCTCTTCTGCTTGGTCGCTCAGGACCCACTGGGGACTCCCGAGGGTTTCAGTATCCAACTTACCCTTTTGTGCGGTTGAGAGCAATCCAAATCGAGGTTGACAAGTTCTGGAAGCGGTGGAGCCAGTTGGCAGGTCCAGGTCTCTACATACGTCAGAAGTGGCACGCACCTGCTAGAAATGTTGCTGCGGGGGACCTGGTTTGGTTGGCTGACCAGAATGCGCTGAGGGGCCAGTTCAGGCTGGGTCGAGTCGTGGAAGTGTGTCCTGATGTGAAAGGTGTAGTACGAGACGTGAGGGTGAGAACATGCCGAAGCTGTCCAGTTTTTGGTGGACAGGTCAAGAAAACCCAAGGTATGGAGAACTATCTCTCCACCATCCTCCATAGGGACGTTAGGAGGTTGGTGGTTCTACTTCCAGTGGAGGAACAGTAAAGTAGTCCCCACCATGGTGTGTTTCGGTTGGAAAATAGTCCCCACCATGGTGTGTTTCGGTTGGAAAGGGATCCCCACCATGGTGTGTTTCGGTGAAGGATCAAGACTCTCCCCACTACCATCCTCCTGAAGGCTGGTAGTGTGTTTCGGTAAAGAAGGATATAATGTCATCAATGACAATGTGTGTTTTATGGTGGCCTACTTGGATTCCAGAATCAGTAGACCAAGTGGGAGGTGTAGAACTTTCCAGTAGGTGGAACTAGTGAGATATATATAATTATATTAAGAGAGAGATTCAAAAATATATATTTAGAGATGGATGTTAACATTATGTTATAGTGTATTTGAGGAAATAAGTGTGTACATTTACTGACATGTTCCAAATGGGGTATATTTATGTTATATTTGGTGAAATATGTTATATCCTTACAAGGCAGTTAGCATCTTTTCTATTTGGCTGTGTAACTTTAATTAGTTTAAGTGCGCAGGCGTTTCACCTTTAAGTTTCATTTTCGTTTAGTCGATGTTCAGGACTGGTACGCCTTGCCGGTGAGTGACTGTAATCTAGCATCGTTAACAATTGAGAGAAAACATCTTAATATCACATAATTGTGTAAATTTATTATTTATTCCTGGTGTTTCTGTTTCATTTCAGGTTTACAACCTAACTAATAATGTCACTAATCCAGCTAACAGGCTAGCATAGCAGTAGCTTTCAGGCTAGTTTGTGGATGAGTATTGTGTGTGAAAAATAAAAGCTCATATAGTGACTTGAGTTGTATCCGCCGTATTTGTCCTGAAACCCTTCCAGTGGGGAGTTTATTGAGCTATAGTAGGTAGTTTAGTAGAGAACTGGACATTAATTATTTGCATCCTTTTAAATGAGCAGTTTTTAGAGATGGTCAAGATAAACATGAGGTCAAAGATCAAGAGAGCAGAAACAAATAATATACAAAATGTCAGGGTCAATCTGTCAGACCATATGGCTCTCATACATCAAGTAAAAACCTCAAAAGCTGATCTTTGCTTGTGAGAGGTCAAGAAAGCTCTCACAAGCATTCAAAGTGGAGGACTGAAGAGATGATTGAACTAAACAGAGAGAGGGAAAAAAAAGGACAAAGCTTGAGCGAGAAGGCCTTGAAGACAGACTTTTAAAGACACCAAGAAATAAAAATTGACAATTAGCAATTACCAACAATTCAATTATCTTATCAATTCCCGATAGGCAAATTCAAGTCCCAATTATTTTACTCACATATACTGTACGTCAATAGGGAAGACAAGCTGAATGTTCACTGTTCACTCCAAAAAATAAAAAATAAAAAAAATAAAATAAAATTCAGTCTTGACCTGCCCTAATGTCATTGCTTTCCTTTTCTACACATAATTACAATTACATACAATTATAATGGAAGGGCACAGGAAAAAATAAATAAATAAATAAATACATAAAAATACTACTATACCACTGTATACTATACTATACTATACTATACTACACTATACTATACTATAAAAGTTTATGTGGCATGCAATCACAAAAATCGAAAATTCTGGGGCCAGCTGCATGTGTCCAAATTTCATTCGTAACCGTTCTCAGAAACAATCTTTAAACAGGGCTTTAAGAGTAAAATACTGAACTTGTCCTTTAAAATCAATTCCCCAAAATCTTAAAAGATCTAAAAATGTCATAAAGGCATCATAAAAACAATCAATCGAGCGGTCTAATCTAAATCCAGAATCGAGTGAACTTATGGGTTAATTATGACTTCAGTAAGAGGGTCACAGAAAGCTATTATATGATTTCTAAAGATCTGGAAAATAACACACAAGTTGAATGGACCACCTTCTGATACGTGTATGCTTCATTTGTACACTCTTTTTTATTTAAATACTACAGTCCCTATTCATTGTGTTTTTTTTTTTTTTTTTTTTTTTTTTTTAAACACTAATTTTCACCTTTTGCATTAGATGGAAGAAAGTCATATAGTTTGGAACGACATGACATGAGTAAATTAAACATGAATGACGACAGAATTCTCATTTATGGATGAAATAATCCTTTCTCACTACTCTACCTTCTATCCTAAGTTGATTTTAATGCAGCCCCCTTCCTTACTCTTTTCAATACCCTCCAAAAAATTACTTTAAAAAAAAAAATACTCTCTCTCTTTTCCCAAAACTGACTTTGTAGTGCTGGTCTCCAATCAGGACGAGGGCTGTTGTGCGGTTGTCTGGGCTCTTGGCTCAGCTTTCCACGAAGAAGAGGCTTTTCACATCAGAGAGTGTGTTGATATTCAGCAAGGCTCCATCTTGAGCAAGCAGCAACGGGATTGTTTACCCGAAAGGCAGGCAAGGGGAGGCAATGGGGGGAGTAGCGAGAGCGTTGTCCCCTCTACTCTTCAGACCTCTCACTACACTCTCTTGCCACCCTGAACCAATTCCACCACAGAGTCTCGGGGACAAATTAAACATGCTAAGATGTCACCACACAGTCCTGGAGAGCAGGAGGAGAGGATCACACGGAGATGTGGCCTCTGCACCATTTTTGATTTGTATGGAAATTAGAAGTCAAACTGCTCGAACAGCCAATAAAGTTGCAGTCTGGTACATGTAACATTTAGATAAGAGACTATAGCGGCAATTACCACTGATTCACATTCTCACATTCTATCTCACATCTTTATTTTAATTACAATCAAAATAAAACTAAACCAAGTTAATGTACTGTAATTTCAATCAAACACAATGGATGATAATAACATCATTTTAAAAATGTGTTGTGCTAATCTACACTCACCTAAAGGATTATCAGGAATGCCATAATGCTCGTCCAAATCCACACTACTGTACCGAACATAAGATCATCAGCAAATGCAAAACTAGATTTTGTTCAGCTTTTTTAGCTGAAATATATTTAGCCGGAAAACTTTCATTAATCTCAGGCTTAACAGCTTGAGAAGTAGCATTATATATTTAAAAGCTATTCCATGTATAACACATAATTATCGCATTTTCACAGCACTCTTTAGACTTCAAACCAGATGTGGACATCATGTTGCAGTAGCATACAACAATGTTGTCATTTAACTTTCTTAGGGGAAATCAAGTTGAGAAAAAGAAACAACTTCCACTGCCTTCTCAAGTCAATGATCAGCAAAGCTTGCACTTAAATATGCCCCCAAATGAGGAGTTATGAGGAAAAGACAAAGTTTTAGAGTTTCTTCGAGACAGGTACCATGGCATGGTGGTATTTTCAAATGGGCTGTAAAGTGCGGTGGTTGCCCAAATTGCTCCCCTCTGAGATAAGATGATTAAAGTCAGTGGGACATCCAAGTGTAGCGATAGGAGGCCAGGAACAGTGGGGTATCCTTCTCAAAATGCACCGACTTCTGTATCCAGGTCACCCCCTGTGGCCTCTCTAATGCACAATAAACTCATTACAACCCATTAATATTTAACTATCTAATTTTCCTGCATATGTGATTTATTAGAGAACGGCAAAAATGAGCGAGACTGTGGGGCTAGGCTGAGGCTGAGCACAGTGGGCAAACAAAGAAAAATTAGCACGGCCACATTGGCTTTATTGAGACAAATTGGCTCTGCGCATGAGAGCAATTAGAGAAATCGCTTTCTTTTCAGATGCATGCCACCAGAAAGCAACTCTCTATTTTGGAATTAGCACTGCAGATTTGATAAAGTCCTCTCCTTTCAGTGGAGAATAATTCAAAGAGAGCAAAAATCTACAGCAGAGCTTCAAGGTCACAAGGGTGCACAGGTATCACTTTAAGGCAAGCTGGTTCGTCCAGACTGAAGAATAACTGTTTCAATAACATTTCAAATCAGCAATACAATCTGATAATAACAGAATCATGAATTTATGATTTCCAAAAGTGGTCTGTCTCCACTTCCAATACTGTCACTGAAATCACTGCTGTTAAATACACAATCTGAGAAAAAAGCTGTGATTTTATAAAAGTGCAGGTGCCAAAACCAGTAGTGATCTGATGATAGAAAGAGCATGCCATCAAACATGTGTGTTGAGAGAAATAGTGTGTGCACTTTAGTGAGTTTTTAGTACAAAACTAAGCTTTAGTGAGTTTTAAGTACAAAACTGGGTAGCCTTGGTTCCAGATGGATATGTTGACATCTGAGGATGAGTGATTTTCTGGAGTTATGAAAGAGAAAGAGAAAGAGAAAGAGAAAGAGAAAGAGAAAGAGAAAGAGAGGAGGGAGAGGGCCAGAGTCATGTGGACAGACCTGCACTGGCAGATGCTTCCATTCGCAATAAACAGCATCAGCAATAAACAGCTCTGTCCTTAGGGGAGACAAGTAGAATGATCTAACCCCCTGTTCAAAGCGCTTTAGCATGCTGCTTATCAAAAGCCTCCTTTATTATTTTACTGTGGCATTAAGACCAAGCTGTTAATATGAGCCAGGCTGGAGAACAATTCCATTGCGTCCCACATTCATCTGCCGTAGGGCGTGACAGGATTGGCTGGTATGGATATAAACATAATTTTAATCAGGTGGTGGTCCTATGTTATAAAGCCCAGTATGGAAACCGCAAAGAGCTTCCTTTGATACTGGGATCTGTTGTGTTACATAAAATACAGTACATTTGTGTCTGTACATGGTAATGCCTACATGTCCTTTTTCAAAGACATAACACTGCTGTCATAACAGATTACAGGCTTGAAACTGACAACAAGGCAATTTAAGCAAAAAAAAAAAAAAAAACTCTTAGGGTGTCTTGCTTCTGTCTTATGTCTAACAGTCTGTGTAAGGATTTGAGCAAGCGATTATGATATGAAGGAAAATGAGTAAGAGCTCGGTGTAGAAACAAAATAGTGGGCAGCATATCTGAGGCCTCTGATCACGAACAGGTTAGGTCTGATTCCATCATTTAAGTGTCCAGGTCATTTCTGACATCAGATTTTATAGGTGCACCGATAGCAATTTTTACAGAATGAGTCCGATACCGATACTTTCATTTTTGATACTTGCCAATACAGAGTACTGATACCGGTACCTGTACCTGTATTTTCACTGCATTTGTCATTTTCAAATGTATTGGGTAGAGAAACCAAAAATAATACAAATCATATTAGTCTGAGCTTAACTTGTCCAGGAAATATAGTTATTTTCATACTTAATTTAGCCTGCTAAGATATATTCTATTAGCTTTTGTCACTTTCACTGTTCATTCAATTGCATATTTGATATTTCATTTAATAGCACAGTGCATATATAGGTCTGCTCCAGCACTCAGTGATGAGACTTGGCTCAGTGGTCCAAAGGTTTAGATACTAGTGAAATATCTCTTTTTCAATACTACAGCAAAACTACTAGCCTAATTAATGTAAATTGATCAAAGACAAGTAAACAGTCAGTAATAAAAGCCACAACTAGGCGTTTCTATATTTCATTAAAAGGTAACTAAAACAACGTTATGTATTTATTTATTTATTTATTGGTTTGTTTGTTTATTTATTTAATGTGCTATTATGTGCTTCAGGTCATTTTCATGTTGGAAGACCCAGCCTCGACCCATCTTCAATGCTCTGAGGGAAGGAGGTTGTTACCCAAAATCTTGCAATACATGGCCCCGTTCGTCCTCTTCTTAATAGAGTGCAGTCGCCCTGTCCCATGTGCAGAAAAACACCCCCAAAGCATGATCCTACCAACCCCATGCTTCATAGTAGGGATGGTGTTCTTGGGATGGTACTCATCATTCTTCTTCCTCCAAACACGGTTAATGGAATTATGA